TCAAACTATCAATGAATTTTAATCTTTATGAAATCGAATTGCATATTCATTAATTTCCTACACTTTGCAATTGAAGAGGCTGTGTATTCTTGCTGTACATGGATTTGTGTCAAAAATATATCATTGCGTTCTTGGCACAGATAGATCACTTACTCACGCAGTCACAGAGTTGCGTTGCGATCGCTCACTCGTCATTCAAACTACCGGTCTGGTGAGCTTCCGCGTGCCGGAGATCTTCACGTGATACACGGACGACCACCTATCATATTCCCCGCGATTTCCGAGCTGATGTGAGCTTGAAGCTTCGACTCTCTAATTCCTCATTTGAAATTTGAATTCATTATTTGGGTGTTCAACGTCAATAAATATTGTGTTTTGTTGGTTTCAATCTTGTCTTTGAGATTTTGTTTGGGATTTTGTTTGAGATTTTGAGGAAGAGTTTCAATTATCTGTGAAAGTTTCCATTTGCTTTCACGGCTATTTATCGTATTGCGGTGAACGACTGAGATATACAGCGGCAGCAAGAGAGAATATTACGATTACTGGTTCTTGAAGAGAGAGAGAATATTAGGAGGAATTATGGAGTACGTTGAGAAGAGAATGGCTGCTGGTATGTTCTTCGTGGATTTTATTTTGTGTGCTGCGATGGGGGAGAGGGGAAGGATGGGTCTTGAGATTGTTTGAGATTGGGCTGGATTAATTGAATCGGATCATTCATGTCATATCATATCAGTATGGAATCAAACCGCTAATCATCACATCAATACAGAAGCCCAAAGACCTGCCGGCGCAGAAGTGTATGTTACTCCCCCCTTCCAATTCCACCCCATCAACTCAGGCCTCGAAACAAACCCCAAACCCTCACTAACACCCCCCCCAGCGCCAGCCTAGCCACCCCAATCAACCTCCTCCTCCTCAGTCTCCTCGCCCTCCTCACCTACACCACCTTCCGCCCTAAGAAAGCCGTCCCCATCCCCAGCGCTCCCTCCCCCATCGTCTTCCGCACCTTCACACCCCCGGAGCTCGTCCCCTTCTCTGGCCTCAACAACACACCTGTGTATCTCTCTGTACGCGGCCGCGTTTTCGATGTGAGCAATGGAAGGAATTTTTACGGACCAGGTGGACCGTATGAGAATTTTGCAGGGAGAGATGCCAGTCGGGGGTTGGCGAAGGGCAGTTTTGATCCGGAGATGTTGACGGAGGATTTGCAGGCGGAGTTGGATACGTTGGAGGATTTGGATGCGGAGGAGTTGGAGGCGTTGAGAGGGTGGGAGGAGAGGTTTGAGGAGAAGTATTTGGTGGTTGGACGGTTGATTAGTTGCAAGGAGAAGGAAAGGGAGGACAGGGAAAAGGCGGAAAAGGCTTAGGAGGGTTTGGGATAGTGAGTATAGAGTGAGGGGTGAGGGGTGGATATATGGGGCTAGGTTTTGTGGTGGGATATATGAAATGTGGATGTTTCTTAGAATGGGATCTCGAAGAAAAACATCACAAGCCAACCTTTCAATAATGATTGGATGGGAGTTGGGGATGTGGTTCATTCATACATACATGCGGGTGGTGGTATATTTACCCCTCGAAGCGAGAATGATGACCCGGTTTCTATATTATGATTGCTGCATCCATTTCATTTATCCATCCATCCATCCATCCGTCCATCGATGAGATTGTGATATCCCTAGCTAGAGTATTTCAAACTCGATTATGCATACCTCGATCACTCTATCCATTTCTCCATTCATTCATTCATTCATTCATTCACCCCCTTCCCCCTCTCCCCAAAAGGAGAATCCAAGTGCACTAAGCGTATCAATTCTTTCTGCCTACCACACTATACACTACTAATAATACAACTAGACATCTATACATCTAGACATATTAACTATTAACCTACTCAGTATCTAAATATCATTAATCATATTACTTGATTGTTTGTGAAATTCTCTTCTCTTTCTCTGTCTTTTTTCTTCTTGTTTCTTTGCTTGTGATTAGATTTTAGATTTTAGATTTAAATTTTAAATTTTAAATTTGTGTTGTAGAGTTTTGAGAGGGGGTTGAAAATCGATGAGATGTAGGATGGGTGCGTTTGAAGGTTGGGGAGTTAAAGATGGGGATTGGAGATTACGATTGAAAGTAGAGATAATATCTCAAGATTTCTCAAAATCTCCTGAACGATCTTCTTTCAAGAGAGTGGAGGAGAAATTTGTCAGTGAGAGTGCTCGTAAAGAGGAAAGAGAGGAAGAAAGAAATGTAATTATATCATAAAATAGATGGATTTGGTAGATTTGATAGAATGTGTTTAAAGGTTGAGGAATACTTTTATTATCTTACTGTGGAGTATACTATCAGAAGCGAGGGGGTTCAAGGAGGGAGCTTAACGCGGGAGTTTGAAAGGGGAATGATTGTATGTTGTATGTTGTATATTATTGTATATTGAATATTGAATATTGGGTATTGGATGTTCACTTACTTATTCAGTTGGTGGAGGAGAATGGACAAGGAAGAATTGATGAGGAATAGGGGAGGGGGAGTGGATAGGAAGAGGAGAGGGGTAAAATTGTAGGGGGGGGATTGGAAAGGTATAATCGGTGGGTGTTTGCGAGATAGGGATCATGAGTGAGGAGGAGAGAATGTGACCATGTGATTATGTGATTATGTGATTATCAAGTGAAGTGTGAGATTTTAGCTTTTGGAATCTGAAATAATGATTGGACTTGAACTTGGGATTGGAACAAGATTGGAATAGGAATTGAAGGTGTTGTGGCATTGCTTGTGGTTTTGGCTTTTGATACCTTCAGGGTTTCTAGATAGTATAGGTATGATTTGTAAATGGTATTCGTATGTGCATGGAGTGTTGGATTTTGAATGCGTTTCGAGTGTGATATAATAGATATAGTTTGGAACTCTAGATGATATCTTTATTTTCTAGTCTTGGGCTAGGAGAATAGGCCGAGCTTTGGATATGGATATAGATCTAGAATGAGCCGGATATATATATATATACAAAGAAATTGGCCTGTGAAAAGAAAAAAGTGGTATATGATGGTATATTATATACATTGAAACCTAATAACATCAATCTTACACCAAGACGATAGGTACATCTCATAATTCTCTGCTCCTCGTCTAACGACATCAATTCCCACCCCCATTCCAAACCAACACATCCTGAACCACCTCCCCCTCTCTAACCATCTCCTCCATCAACGACCGACTCTCCAACATCCACTTCGCCCAAGAACTTTTCACCTCCTCTCTAAACCCCCAACACGTCACTTTCGCACTCCTCAGCCCTTCATGTGCGAGTAATTCCTTCATATACTCCCGATCGCGCAACGTCCACATCTCCCTCGATTTCATTGCCGATTTCCGTACTTCTCTCACATCATCCCCATCTAACGACATCTCGTCTCCCATCTCGATAACTTCAGAACTATTCAACGATTCTTCTACCCACGGGTTTCCCCAAACCGTCAAATCCAAATTTTTCAATCCCAATAATTCACATGTAATGAATCTACAAAAATTTCCCCATACCATATCAACACTAGCACCAGCACTAGCGTCCACCCCCAACTCAAGAACCTCCCTTGCAATCTTCAAATTTTGAGCCCATCGTCGCGCACCCTGGCTTCTGTCCGTCCAAAAAGGTTGTACAGCTTCGATATGCATACCGAAATCCCAAATACTATTTCCATTTCCATAAAGCACTTCTTCGGCTTCTAATTTGGTTTGTTTGCATACACTTAGAATACGCGTGTGGATACTTGGATTAGGATGGTCGGTGTGGGAATTAGCCGAGAGGACTTTGTAAGTGGTGAGCCTTTCGGGGGTATCTGGGGATATGGGATAGAATGATTGGGCTGCGCAAAGAGGAAGGCATTTGGGTGGAAAGTAGTAACCATTGTGGGGAATTTGTGTTGTAATTTTATGATGGCGAGGTGGGAGGAGGAGAAGATAGATTTTCAGACGGATTTCTATAGGTAAAGATAGAAAGGGGAATGATGGATTGGCCATTGAATTGATATTGTTGATTGGCGAGGAAAAATCATGTGATGAATACTCAGATAGAGCTAGTGTATCCACAGGGCTGAACGACATGGATTCTCTCAATTCTGTATCCCTGTTTGATTGTTTCGAAGAATCACAATTGAAAGGATAAGAAGTAGGATAAAGAATATCGACATCGATGTTTCGACAATTACTTTTACATTGCTTTATAGCTTTATTCTTTTGAGCGTAGAAAATATTCATGGATAAGGTGGATAACTCCGGATACCTTGATGGGTTCTCGAGAAGATAGGACTTGGATGTCATTTTCGGGTAATGCAGGGGCGGAATACCGGTGAAGTTGACAAGGGGTATGATGTCCGGACTGTCGGGTTTTGGAATGTTGAGTGTTTTGAGTTGTCGGTGTATCTAAAGTGGAATTATATTGAAGTGTTGATTTCGAAGATATGTGATACGCTCAGTGTTTCATTACTACTGATAAAAGTCTCGAGCCTATGTGAGATTCGCATTTATATATTAGGAAACTTTAAACTAATATTGCACAATAATATTAATGAACATGCGCGTAATCGTTTAGTAAATAGGGGTGCCAATTTGACGTCCTAAAATGTTATCTCTTATGTGTGTTGAGATAGAGAATAAAGATGATATGAATAAGTGAAGAGAGGTAAATTAACAGAAGTGAGGAATGTTCTATATTAATGAAAATCAGACTGTTTATATAGAGGCACAGCCGAGCCTGGACACTACGTAAGGGATATACATTTCTCTGATGCATAACACGAAGAGACGAGTAAGAAACCAATAGTTTGTTTGTACCTCGAGAGACGGAAGTATGACCAGCTCATCCGGAGTGATATCTTACAGCATGCGGCCGAGGATGACACTGCATGACTGTATTGACTGTATCAAAGTGCCCAGAGATCAACGTCAAAATATGACCTCCTTCGTACAATAATGCTTACACCGTACCAGGGACATACATATAGTAATTATACACCAATGAGTTCTCGTCGCAAGTACTCGGCAAATCCATTCATGATTGAAGCAGAAAATGCGACAAAAAGAGCCATAGATGAAGAGTGATTTGACGAGGGCATAGATTGCATCTCAGAGGTGATATCCAATTTCTGAATACCTTTGATTTCTAGCAATTGGGAAACCCATACCAAGTGTTCATTTGAATGAGTTGTTAAAGTCTCAAACTCCGACGATGTGTATTGTCTCGTTTCCCGTTCGCCTCTTGGTTGTCCTCCCTCGACGATTAATTTCAATCCCTTTAATTGCATATGATCTCTCAAGAATTTACAAAGATTGTTCCAATCGCATCGATTCGATTCGAGAGAAAAGATGAAACCTTGTTTGAAAAGAGATATCTCTTGTACTAAAGGTCGTGTACCAGAATTTAGGTCGGAAAAGAAGGGAACGATGGCCTCAATGTCTTTATGAAAACTGAATGCTCGATTGCAATACAACATTGGTAAAGTTTCCTCGTATATCTTGCGATTCACTCTCATTATAGAGGTGTGTATATCGACAGCAGTGCATAGTTCATATGTCGTCTGGAGTCGTTGTCGCAAAGGAGAGAAATCGACACTGTAAGAAGACCGTAGGGAACGACAAGGTCCATCATGACGTTGGCCATAGGTGTATGGCTTTTGGTTGCGGATTTCGAATATTTTGTTGTTGTAATCGTTGAAAAGGTATTCATATATCATAACCCTGATTTCTGATGGCATACTCATGAGCGCCGAATAAGGTTTGACGTCTGCCATGGCTAATTCAATACGTCTCCGTGAAGCTAGAGAGAATGCCGATTTTTTTTTTTGAAATCGAGAAGTGTTGTTTGCATATCCTGAACAAAAAACTATTTTCCCAACTAAAGATTAGAGTGGTTGTTGGAAAAACTAGGAATATCCATCAAGGTTCTTCTGCTTTTTGTCCAACGGCAGAATCTGGAAACACTGATTAATATGATCAATATGGCTGCGTTAAATGTTAATAAATTTGAAAGAAAATGTGCTTTGAAACGAAATACTGAATCGTGTATGCAGTGGTTCTTTATTAGCATAGCAACTCGTAGGTAGACCCGAGTGGACTCAAACCATATCGCCGAAAAAGAAACTAAATTTGGGAGACAAATCTATCACTTAGCATGATGCCATGATGCCATGATGGCGATTCATGCTGCTAACAACTTGGGCAGTTTTTCGGCGAAATCATCAACGGATTGGTGAATTGGTTTGGATTGTTATGAACCTGGTGCAGTATCCTCGAATCCCCCTTGTAGGGGTAGCAGTTGCGATAACATACCGCCAACGCTTTGAACACTCCTGCACGAATAATCAGTGTGTATGGAGGTCCTTGTAAAGAGTTTTCGTGCGTTCAAACTTCGGTGCAAAAAGTATCAATTACATCAAAATGCCGAGAAAATTTTGGGATTGAAAATTCGCATGCGTTTATCGGAAAATCATCGGGTCCTTTTTCATGAGTCGGTGTCGGTTACTTGATTAATAGCCAACCATCATTTCAGGGGTTAACCACTCAACAACTCATGATCGATAGACGAGTAAATGTCTTTTCAAAGCTCTTCTACATTGCATTTGCAATCAACGGATACTACAATACTTTTACCTTGTCAATTTGCCAAAGATATCGTTAACTTTCTTGATCGCTAAACAAGTCACACAAATTTGAGAATATTTCGTTTACTATTTCGATTACTAATCTACCCCTCCATCAATGGAAAACTCCACTTCAATTTTTGACATCAACCTCGAAGTCCAAGGTCACTGTTCGCAATTGCACAGTATCCATATATACTAGAATCTCATCTTATCTACCTGACTGTCCCCAGAATCTTTTCAACGGCTTTTTCTATTAAAAGATAAACATGCTCACATGCTTGCTATTTAGTTTTAGCGATGTTACCTCCCAGCCACTTCAATTATCAATTATCACGGGAACATGGTAAAGAAAAGAAATCCCAGCCCTCTCCACGTGTAATTAAAAAAAATCCTTCCCAGCCTCCATAAACAAATTGCATGAGGTATGTATAATATGATGCATCTCATTATTCCATGTAAGTCTTTCTAATCTCAGATATCAAATAATTGTTCTCGAGTCCATTCCTATATATTTACAAATTGATGCAACCACCATGCGTCTGAATACTTCCACTTCCAATCTTTTCGCGCTATCCACACTCTTTTTGCTATCATCAGGGCTCCCAGTCATCCAAAAAGATGTTATTTCGGTGGAACATGTAAAGAGGGCTACGTACTCCGTTGTTAATGTTGAGGGAGGTTCTTCAACTTCCGCAAGTAGTGGAAATGGGAAAGCAACTACTGTTATAGAAACAGTCACCAGAACCGAGGAGCCGGCCACAAAAACAGTAATCGAGACCGATTTAACCACAACTACGAACCAAGTTGTCTCAACTCAGACTGTGAAAGGTTCTGATGCAACTGAGACTACTTCAATTACTGTTACACCATCTCCGACCACAGTCGTTAGCGTTAGTTATTCAGTTGTGGATATCTCGGCAGTGACTACCTCCAAATCTTCATCAAAAGAAGTCTCCACCTCTTCAAGTTCCACTACTTCGGTATCCTTATCTACTTCATCAAAAACAGCAGCTACTAGTTCGGCAACCATCATATCTAGTGCGTCCGAATCATCAAAATCGTCCGAGCCATTGACACAATCCATATCATCTTCCCAATCTGCATCCTCAATAACAGCCACGGCGTCAACTTCAACCACACAATCAACCGTATCGACTTTGACTTCTAGCGCTTCTGAATCATCCACTGCAGTCGGATCTTCCCCATCGCTGTCCTCAATTGTCCCCAGCGTCACCAGCTTGATCACTTCCGAAGCATCTAGTCCTATTCCAACTCTCGAGTCACGGTCAAGCACATTCACCGACGAAACTTCATTCGTATCACTCCCCACAACTACTCCATCTTCCTTGTGGGTTCCTTCATATACAGGAATACTATCTAGTTGGCCTGCTATTACAGCTTCGCCTTCAGCTACTACTACTTCCTATGATAGTGAGAACTCGTTCACTAGCTATCCTTCTTGGAATTCCACGACTGCTATACCTAGAAATTGAGCACATTTTGACTCGTTACATTGAATGCTCGACCACTCTTTAGTTTTGGAGGGATGCCACACCGCAGGGGAGACCTCTCTTATAACGAGAATTTCATGTTGAAACCACGTTACCTCGCTGGCATTCAGCGAGTAGTGGAATAAAATCGTTGAGTTGAGAACCAAGTTTGTGATCCAAACTAGCAGCGCGAAAAATGTGCTTGGTTCTGTATTCATGTATACATCTTGGGGTGATGACATTTATTTGGAGTTAAGGAATCATATGGCGCCAAGAGCTGGCAAGCCTTTTATGTTATTGATGACACGAGGACACGAAGAGACACGGTGGTGTTGTATAAGATGTCGAAATTTTTAGATACACAATAATGAAGATAATTTAAGATCAGTTATTCACATGTTAAGAGCTACCCTTGATTGTTCTCTTGGCGTAATAGAATCATTTGATTGAGAATGATAAGTATAGTACAGTTGTGCAGTTGACTAATAACAACGCTCCATTATCCTACCTAGGTAGGTATTCCATCTTGAAGATTGAACCTTTTTATCACAGAGTATACTACATTATCTTATCAAACCTGGAGTTCCGCCCAAGACTGGTGACGCTTTTCGGAGTTCGGATAAACTCTTCATCCGTTAATACATGATTGGACAAAAACAATCCTTGTCAATCAATTGTACATTGGGAGGCTTATTAGCGTTCCTTCCCCCGGAAACTGGTCGTCACCAGTTAATCTTCGAATCCTATACGAATATCTGATATCTACACTAATCGCTCAACCACTCACGAATTATTGTTTGCTTGGGCTACGAATAATTTCTGCTGCGCAAGCAACTGTACCTGAAAGTCTGCCATAATGGCTTCTCCGCCTCAAGTCGTGGAGGATCAGGCACGACTCCTCGAAGATGCCTTGAATGTTGTTCGTCAACAAACACAACTTATGCGACGATGTTTAGAAAGTCCAGGGAAGCTTATGGATGCTTTGAAGTGCAGGTATGTCAATGAATTTGGGTTATTTGAAGCTGATCTATGTGGTTGCAATGATTATAATAAATGCGCCAGATGAAAATGATCTTGTGCTGATTTGTCCCTTTCAAAACTTATAGTTCAACACTTGTCTCCGAGCTTCGAACGAGCAGTTTAGGGCCGAAGCAGTACTATGAGCTATACATGGCAGTATTTGATGCCTTGCGACACCTATCCTCTCACCTCAAAGATTCCCATCCCACTCATCATCTCGCCGACCTGTACGAGCTTGTTCAATATGCTGGAAACATTGTTCCTCGACTTTACTTGATGGTAACAGTCGGTACAGTCTATATGGGGGTGCCAGAAGCGCCAGTTAAGGAAATCATGAAGGATATGATGGAAATGAGTCGTGGAGTACAACATCCCACTAGAGGATTATTCCTCAGATATTACCTATCCGGACAAGCTCGCGAACATCTACCCCAAGGGGATGGTGATGGACCAGAAGGAAATCTGACGGATTCGATAAGTTTTGTTCTTACAAATTTTGTGGAAATGAACAAGCTATGGGTACGGCTACAACATCAAGGCCATTCCCGAGAAAGAGAGATGAGGACACAAGAGAGGAAAGAACTTCAGTTACTGGTCGGAAGTAATCTAGTTCGATTAAGTCAATTGGTGGATCTGGAAGTCTACAAGAATACGATTCTCCAGCCACTGCTTGAACAAGTAGTGCAATGTCGGGATGTTCTAGCCCAAGAATATTTGCTAGAAGTAATCACACAGGTCTTCCCTGATGAATATCACCTACACACCTTGGATCAATTCTTAGCGGCTGTATCGAGATTGAATCCTCATGTAAACATGAAAGTCATTGTCATAGCTATGATGGATAGACTTTCTGCATATGCTGCACGAGAATCAGAATCGACTTCTGGAGTAGACCGCGAGAAGTTAGAGCAGGAGGCTGTTACTAAGTTGCTCGAAACAACCCGGCTGAATAAGGAGAGCAAGGCTGCTGAGTCGAAGCCAGACTCAACTCCGGCACCGGAGTCCTCAGAGTCAAACGGTGATGGCCCGTCGACTGAGACAAATGGAGCCGACACAGACTCGAAACCCAATGAACAAACTGATGATAGTCTCAGCTTAGCTCCAACTGAAGTTGATACTCAGTCTGTTGCTGAGACAACTGTTAATGATGGTGCCAATGACAGACCAAATGTCGTTCCTGAGAACATCAAGCTGTATGAGATCTTCTTTGACCAAGTAATGCATCTTGTTGCTTCTCAGCGCTTGTCCGTACAAGATACCTTAGCATTGTTGGTGTCTTTAGTCAATTTGGCACTAAAAGTTCATCCCGATCGTCTAGATTACGTCGACCAGGTACTGAACTATGCCTCAGAAAGGGTTAAAGCATATGCCAACACCCCTGAGTTACATTCTCCAGAGGCACAGAAAAATATTCTAAACTTGCTTCTAACACCAATCAACTCCTACGCTTCTATTTTTACAGCCTTGTCGCTTCCAACTTATATCCCACTACTACAGCTTCAAACATATCCAACACGTCGAGCTGTCGCTGGCGAGGTCGCTCGCACTTTACAAGCCAATTCAACCAAAATCTCTACTATCGCCTCGCTAGAGGGAGTTCTCGAAGTTCTAAAGGTTCTGATCAAGGAAGGATCTCAACCCCCAGCTAGTTACGCTGGCGTACAGCGCAAATCCGTTGAGACTGATGAAACGATAGAAGAGCAGGGATGGTTGGCTAGAATCGTTCATCTTATCCATAACGATGACAACGATACACAGTTTAAGCTTCTGCAAACTACCAAGGCCGCTTATTCGGAAGGGAATGAGCGTGTGAAGTTTACAACTCCAGCTCTCATAACTTCAGCCATGAAGCTTGCAAGACGTTTCAAGACCAGAGAACACTATGATGATAACTGGGAGTCACAAATATCGGCTCTCTTCAAGTTTATGCATTCAGCTCTTTCAACTATGTATACACGAGTGTCTGGGTCTGCTGAGCTTTGTTTGAGGCTCTTTGTGGCTTGTGGACAAATTGCTGATCAAACAAATTTTGAAGAGGTTAGCTACGAGTTCTTCGCCCAAGCATTCACTATCTACGAAGAGAGTGTCAGCGACTCTAGGGCTCAATTCCAAGCAGTTTGTGTTATTGCGTCTGCTCTGCATGAAACACGAAATTTCAGCAAGGAGAACTATGATACTCTCATTACCAAATGTGCTCTACATGGTAGTAAGCTATTGAAGAAGCCTGATCAATGTCGTGCTGTATTCTTAGCAAGTCACCTTTGGTGGGCTGTACCCATCGCAGCAAAGGGGGAGACAGACGAAAAGAATGTAAGTTTCAATCATGACTATCACATTTAGGACAGCAGCTAACACATTATAGCTCTATCGTGATGGAAAGCGTGTTCTTGAGTGCCTTCAACGTGCGCTCCGCGTTGCAGATGCATGTATGGATACTGCTGTCTCGGTGGAACTTTTTGTTGAAATTCTCAATCGTTATGTATATTATTTCGAGCAAGAGAATGAAGCCGTAAGTACCTCGCTCATGAATAGTCACATAAACATCAATTTAACACAATCGATAGGTTACAACCAAATATTTAAACGGTCTTATTGAATTGATCCATTCAAACCTTCAGGGCAATCAAGATTCTGCCACAATTAACGAACCAAGAAAGCATTTCCAACGTACTTTGGATAATATTACTTCTCGAAACTATGAAGGTGTAGTAACAGCAGCTGCACCTTAAAGCACAAGCAAATACCATCTTCTTTCTTCTATTAATAGCTTTCTAAGAGCATGAAATGGATCATACTCGATGTAAATTTATGTGAGATGGCTTGGGGTTATTTGCTTTGATGGTGACAAGAGGGAAAGAGAGAGACCCTGGGTATGATTTTTTTTTTTGGAAGCCAGCACTTATGTTTACGAAGATCAAAATAATGCAGCGAATGTACTTAGATTTTACTTGGCTCGTTTTTAAGCAAAAAAGTGATGGGTTTGATTTAATTGGCAAACATCAATATAGCTATAGGCTATGTATGTAAGAAGAGATGATAATCGAAATAACTCTGAATATGTGCAATATATATTTCTAAACCCCATCGAGACTTTAGACGCAATCTTGTGAAAGATTTGCTTGAGTTATGATGTGCTTGGCTAAACAGAATATAGTAACTAAGTTTATTCACAATTCAAGGCATAGAGACCGTCTCTTCAACATCTAGATCTTGAATCTTGAATTGTAATGCTTCATTAGTCCTTTTGCATAGATATATTGCTAGGTTCTTATCATAAACCGTTTCATAATCTTACATATGCCCTTCTCCGTATTCTTGCAGATCTAAATCACTGGTGGATTTATCGACAGGGGAAGGTTACCGAAGACGCGAATCCCTTGATAATGAGAGTCCGTGATTGTCTGTGTCGCAGATAACCCATTGACTTTCGAATATGCTTCAACTTTCAAGCCACCAAAGAAATTCACAATACTTTGAAACTTCGAGATCATACAATAAGTATTGAAACAACAGCTGGCCTGAAATTAAAAAGAACCACTGGAGGGATTCATAATTCTTTTGGAGAACTTTGTGAATCAAGGAGTTCGAAAGGACATTAATATTTAGAGATCTATCAAGACGTCCATTGTCCTTCTATACGGCCGCCCTTCGTATTCGCAACCTTATCAATTGACAACATTATCAATCGCTAGCACACAAACTCAACCACCAAGAGAAGTGGTATCTTCCTCTTCCATATCTAACAAATTGGCACAACTTTCACAATGCCGGACGAAAAGCACATCTACGAATCTCTCCCCATACCCACCTACTCCGAAGCCATCGGCGAATCCTCTCAGAGCTCAACACCCATAATCTCCCGTTCCGATTCCTCGAATGAAACTGCACATCCCACCGAAAGAGAAGGTCTGTTGGGCCCTGATATCGGTGCCAGAATTCCAGTTCCTACTCGCAGAGCTGGTTATCGCCCTCCTCCCACCGAAGATGGCATTTCAAATCGAGGCAGTACGGAACAAGATACGTTTCTAAATCAACATGGAGAACGCGAAAGTGACGATGATGATGAAGTGCGTAGAGAGATGGAAGAAATGGAAATACAAGATCCGCAAACCGAACAATCGACGTGGGGGAAACGAATGTCGAGTCTTTCTGCATCATTATCGTCGCGAATACCTTGGATACGGAGGATTGGTTGGCCAAAGATCGATGCGAATTTTTGTATAGTGATTGGGAGGATTTTCGCAATACTGCTCGTTATGGCAGTGGTTTACTTGCTGTTTATGAGTGATCTGTTTTCGAATGCGGCGAATAGGATTGGAGGACAGATGTTCCCTGCGGAGAGCGTAAGGATATTTGTGCAGGAAAGTGTTTCGGAAGAGAGAATTATGAGATGGATGAATAGAATTACGGAGACGGATCATTTGGCAGGTACGGAGGGAGATTATATTTTGGCAGAGATCGTTCAAGAACTTATGGTGAAGAATGGATTGGAGGACGTAAAGATGGATGAATATGGAGTTTATCTGAATTATCCAAAGGAGGGAGGAAGAAAAATCGAATTACTTGGCGAAGATGGGAATCCGATTTGGCAGGCAAAGATTGATGAGCCGCAACTTTATACAAACCCACCGAGACAACAAACACCGGTTTTTCATGGACATTCGAAAGCAGGAGATGTTACAGGTCCATTGATATACTGTAATTATGGTTCACAAGCCGATTACAAAACCTTTTACGACGGTGGAATTGATACGAGAGGGGCAATTGCTTTGGTCAGATATTATGGTACACAAGGAGACAGAGCTTTGAAGGTCAAGGCTGCGGAGCCTTGGGGTTTCAAAGCTGTGATAATGTACAGTGATCCTGCAGATGATGGATTTACTTTAGGTGATACCGCCCCCAATGGTCGATATATGCCCAAAGATGGAGTTCAACGAGGCGCAGTCAGCTTAATGAGCTGGGTAGTTGGAGATGTTCTCACACCTGGATGGGCAAGCGTAAAAGGAGCGAAACGGGTATCGAAAGAGAACAATCCAGGATTGACTAGTATCCCTAGTATTCCAATCTCGTGGGGAGATGCACAAAGGCTTTTACAATCCATTCAGGGATTTGGGATAGAATGTCCTCCAGATTGGCAGGGTGCAGTTCCTGATGTTAAATATTGGTCTGGAAATCTTTCAACTCCCAAAGTTCATCTTGTTAATGAACAGGATGAAGTTGAGCAACAACCAATTTGGAATGTTTTGGGAAAAATCACCGGTGTTGAACAAAAGGAGAAATCTATCATTGTTGGTAATCATCGTGATGCTTGGGTTTTTGGTGCAACAGATCCCGGTTCAGGTACAGCGGTTTTCCTCGAAGTTATGCATATCTTTGGTGATCTTGTTTCACGAGGTTGGCGTCCACAACGTACTATCGAATTCGCATCTTGGGATGGTGAGGAATACAATCTCATCGGATCTACGGAACATGTTGAAAAGAACATGGAGAAATTACGTAAAGATGCATTTGTTTACTTGAACGTTGATGTAGCAGTTGGTGGCGACACATTCAGAGCCGCTGGAAGTCCAGTTTTCAAGAAAGCACTTCTTAGAGTTCTAGATCGCACAACTGATCCTGTTAAAAACGCAACACTAAGACAACTCTGGGATGAAAGGAAAGCCCAATTAGATGGTCTAGGTGCCGGAAGTGATTATGTCGCGTTCCAAGATATGGCAGGAACTTCTTCTTTGGATTTTGGATTCGAGGGACCGGCTTATCCTTATCATTCTGCGTATGATAACTTTGAATGGATGGCCAGTCAAGGAGATCCTGGTTTTCAGTACCATAAACTTTTAGCTCAAGTATGGGCCCTTCTTATTCTTGAATTCTGCGATAGAGCGGTTCTGCCGTTTGATATTAGAGCATATTCTGCGTCGGTTACTAAATGGGTAATGGAATTGGAAAATTGGGCAGAATCAAAAGGACCAAATCAAGCTGGTAATGTACCTTGGTCAACAGAACCATTAAGGGAAGCAGCATTACAATTTGCGCAAGATTCGAGACGGTTTGAAAAGTTTGAATTGGAATGGGATGGATTGGTATTGGGAAGTGGAGGATTTGAAAGTCCGGGATTGGCAAGTCATAGGAAGAGTCATAATACTCGAATGGCGAATTTCGAAACGCATCTTTTGGATTTGGAGGAAGGTGGTGGGGTATGTTTTTTCTTTGCTTTGGGTTTCCTCTTTGTCCCTTCTTATCTCCTCTCGAGTTCCCCCTCTTCCCCGTATCCTCTCATCGATATCATCTACTAACATCTTCACATAGATTCCCAACCGAACACAATTCAAACATGTAATCTTTGGCCCACAACTCTGGTCTGGATACGATGAGGCATTTTTCCCTGCTATCCGCGATGCTGTCGAGGTGGGAGATTGGGGGCTAGCAAAGGAATTGGTGGAGAAGACAGCGAACATTATTAAAAAAGCTAGTAGGAAGATGGCGGATGGGAAATAGGGGACTGAGGAGGCGAAGGAAAGAGAAATGGTTTAGTGGGAAATACAAATATTATATCAATGTTTGAATCGAGAATCAGGATAATGATGATTCGAGATTCAACATTTCAGGATTCGGAATGGCAAAATTTTGTGTATGCGTTTGTTTCATACAGCGAGCGTTTGGCGTTATTCTTTTTGTCTTTGATTTTTTAGTATCGATTTATATGCCATCGTTGGATGGGATGGGATTGAATCTGATTGGATTGCTGGGGCCGGAGGTAGAACAATAAGCAGAGAAGTAGAGGTGTGAGAGAGGGCTTGTGTATACATTGTATAAGAAGACAGGATAGCATGCGTGATTTGTATACCTATCTATCTACCTACCTATCTGTGGATTGGGCTGGGTTGGGAGTTGCGATGTGGGATGTGGGAGGTTGAATGTGAATCCGCTTGAAGAGAGTTGGAGATAAGAATGGGAATTGGGGTAGAGAATATCAGTGGAGAATAAATATATCAATGGAGTCTTTCTGTTACGAATGTCTGTTAAGAGTATTGGATATTGAGATGGAAATAAGAGTGAGAATGCGAGTGTCTGAACTATTTACTTATGAGAGAAATCGGATATATTGTTGTAATTTTATATCGTGAGAGGGATTCATTGGGGTTTCTCCTCTTTTCTGATGGGGTGGTGGGTGATGGTGATAGTGATATTGTGAGGGTGATATTGTGAGGGTGATGCTGTAAGGGTGATACTATGAGGGAGGTATTAAAGAGATAGATGGAATCTGGATTGAGCTTTAAACTTTGAAGTAGATTGAAATGGATTGGATGGGTATGTGCAGAAGGTGTGTGGTGGAAATACTAAGCGGGTCGGTGAAATGAGTACTGAACTTCGAAGCGGATTGGATGGGTGAAGTACTATGTAGGCTAGGTAGGTACGTGGGCGTGTAGGTATTTGACTTTTTCATTTCTTTCATTCTTTCTGGAGGAACTTCAGGGATGTTTGAGGGGAGGAGGAAGAGTAGAAAAAGAAGGGGAAGGAGAATAGGCGAGGGAAGTGAAGAAGATGAAGAGAAGAATAGGCGAGGGAAGGAGAAAGGAGAAAAGTGTAGAAGAGAATAGGATAAACGATGTTTCTTTTGGGAATCTGGGGATGAGGTATATAGGTAGGTGGGTGGGTATTTGAGGTGGGTATTTGAGGTGAGTATTTGAGGTGAGTATTTGAGGTGGGTATTTGAGGTGAGTATTTGAGG